ACTGCAACATGAATCATCACGCCATGTGGACGCTGGGAGTCACAAACGCCGTGTTCACGTATACACCTAAAAATAGAAAGTCACAGTCATTAGCCGCGAGAAGCTAAAATCGTGTCTCTCTCCCATCAGTGAACTATTAGAAACCATTAGCTTTGTGGGGAAAACGAATAGCTCGTGCACGTTGTATTGTTTTTTTGTTATTTTGCGAGTGTCTCCTACCTGCTCCTCCACATGCTGGGTGATGCACGGTGGGGTTAGTTAATGAGGCCAATAATGTAGCAGTGTGTGTCTAATGAGAGGAGATGAGCTCAGGTTCTGTACAATTCACATTTAATTTTAGTGTGTTTGTGTGTAAACACGATTACATTCATGAATCCTGGAAGGTTGAAACCCACAATTCGCTCTTAACAGAAAATCTGTTACACCCAATTTCACGTATTTGTGTTTCGTTAAAAATCATCACCTCACTCGGACTGACATGTGAAGGACCTCTTCATCACGTCACCTGTTCTCGCTGAAGATATTTAAACTTGCACTGTAGCTGTTTTTTTATTTTTTTATTTTATGTACATAATAGCAGTGCATCCCGTGTTGCACCGAGCCAGAGAGCAGATGAGACTGCTCAGACAAAGCCTGTGATGTCCACCTGCTGTGAGAGACAATAACCAGATGTGAAGAGGAGAATTTGACACATGCAAGTCTGCTCATTGTGGCCAATTACCAGGTTGAAGCATCCCTCTGGCAGGCACTGAGCCTCAGAGAGAGAGAGAGAGAGAGAAACAGAGAGAGAGGACTCTGCTTTTCTAATCAAGTGCATCCAATCAGTTGAATTACAATCGTATTTTTGCTGCTGGTTTGCTCTGTGTAATGCTTTTGTTTTTAGGCCAATGGGGGTATGATTGACTTGGACGTTTCTCAGTCGTATCGAGGTCTCCTGTCTTTGGGAGTGTTAGCGCAGGTGTGATGTAAAATAATGATCAAACTCACTTGTTGAGGGCCCCGTTTCTCCTCCGTCAACAGAGCAGGCGTTTTTTTTTTTTCTCTCCAGCTCGTCAGATCCGCACATAAGCCGACAGTTTACGCTCAGACTCGCTACCTGCTCCCCGAGCAGGTAAGTGAATCAAAAAGGGTTGTAAAACTCTGATTAATGCAGGACTAGGGAACAGGACGGGCGAGATAGCGGGAGAGAAAGAGCGGCCAGGCTTGTTCTGTCAAACGTAGCACTTTGCAAATATGGCACTCTGTTTCTGTGATGTGGAAGCTTATTATCTTATTATGCATTCTTTTATTTCCCCCTATAAAACACTGGCACAGGAAAGTGCGGAGCTGCTCCTCGTGCTCCTTCCTTGTAATAGCTTCTCACCGCTCCTCATTCTATTACAAAAGATACAACAGTTAGTTAAGACCCCACGAAACATTTCATTTTCTGTCTTTCTAATTAAATGTGTCTCAGATGAGCCCACTGAGCCCACTCGTCTGGTTGTCCCCCCATTTGGAGTGCCACCGGAGTTTAATATATGGCATTAAACAGGGATTGAGGAAGAAAATGAAGCCTACCTCCCATTGGGAATGTAATGGATGATTATAAGGCATAATCTTAGTAATACAGAAATCCTTTAGTTTAGTTCCTGTCATTTTATTTAAGTTACTGTCTGTTAAATATGGAAATGTCTCCGGCTATTTTTGGCACACTTAAGATTTTGAATTGTGTGAGCGGGGCTGTAAAATGCACATCTTGCAAATGCATAAATTGAGCTTTAATGAGTTTTTTTTTTTTTCCTTAAAGCTCGTTTCTTTCTTTTTCCAAAACACTGCGGTTCTATTTTATGCAGCGTTCGGATCAGATGCTGGTGTTTATGTCATATTTTTGCACGCTGTTTATTTCAGAGACATCACAGGCGGTACGTTTTTCTACAAATAGAGCATACAGCTGCACAAACCTGCGAGGAAACAGTTGCAGCAAAGAGGAAGAAAACATGCAAACATGCTCTCCGAGTGTGCAACTTCACGGAACCTCAGAGGCAAACGAAAGGTTAGCATGCTGAAAATAAAAGTGAGGCCTATTGCAACATGCACATAAGTCATACCGTAATGAGGATGTTTTTAATAGATGTAACAATTAGTAAAGTCACCGTACCAGTAAATCAAAGGTAAGTCCTGGAGCACTGGTTATCCTTTACCCAAGATGCATCAGTGTTCTCCTGGGGTTAAACTCTGAAAGGTCAGACGGTGTCTCATTTACGCACACTGTGTGTAGCGGCGCTCCGGATGAAGGGGACAGACTCACAAAGCCGTGCTGCACACGTAAGCCGCAACGCTGGCATTTGTAAAAAAGTGTTGAGAGAGAATCATATTTAGAGCTACTGAGGATTCTTTTAAGTAGACGCCTAGACACATGCAAAATTTTGAATTTCCTTCTACTTAAATTTTATCCACATTCATCTGGAGAAACGGCTCTAATTGGAGCTAATCTTGCAGTTACCCATGCAAGTGTAAGGATTCCATTATGTGCCATTATAATATAACGCTGGTGTGCAAAAGCTCTTAACTTTCCTCTGTACTAACATTGTGTCAGTGGGCCTCCTCCTGCACTATAAGCTTATTTTATGATATATGCCTAAGTGCACCCCCTGTATAGTGTAGGGGGGAAAAAAATCATACCCGATATAATAAAGACAGTAGTAAACTTCATGGCAGAGAGCTGCCTACGTGAAACTCCAAAGGGAGACAGAATGAGGTGCATACAGGACTATTAGCCCTCAGTAACACAGTTAATGCATTGGCTCTGGACTCCGCTTGTTAACCCTTGAGACTCCAGGCCGATAAATCCTGGTTTAAGAGATCTGGCAAACCAAGAGCTCACGCAGCAGCTTGTGTCCAGTGTTGCATCAACTACAGATCTGATCAGACTTTAAGCTGTCGCTGTAACAATATGCACAAAATAGTTCAAACTAAACCAAACTTGCACTGTAAGGGAGCGATCGTTGAGGATTTTTAGTTATTTTGCCAATTTTGCAGCATGAAAAATAACATTTTGTGTTTGAAAAAATGTCATTTTTATTCACTACTGTTATATTCCTGCCACTGAAGAAAACATAAAGTCATTACAGTGGGTAAAACGCCTACAAATGAAGCATAAAAAGCATTACCGCGTTCCATATTTACTGCTGCTGCATTCATGTACAGTCGTCATATCTTACTGCCAGTCTGGAATTTACACTGCAACAGCGTGTAGCATCAGATGGGACATTTCATCTGGCTAATATTTATTCAGAAGCATCAGAGGGGCCTCTGTTGTGTGTTCTAATGAATAAAACACGATGTTTATCCTTCCTGTTTAACGTTAAGTCCCCATGAACAGTCACAGGGACCAGGAGAATATTTACTTGTGTTGGGACACCAGGGAGTTGGATTATCTGCTGGCGGCTTTGTAGTTTTCTGAAGCTTCCCCGCGTGACATGTTCCAGGGAGAGTGCTCTTATTTACTCTCCGGTCCTGTGTGTATAGCCTCTCCTTATTGTTTGTTCTTATGTGCCACCACTCCTGAGGACTGTGTTCCAGCAAAAGAGAGAGAGACGCACACTTTAGAGGAGGAAACGCTAATGCTGTGATCACTACACGGGATTGAGACTACAGACTCCAGGAGGACACACTGGAGGATGCTGTGACTGTATACTATTCTATTAGAAAGGGGATTTTAAGTTGCATTTACTGTAAATACACTTTGAATTGGGCACATGTGAGGGGGAAAAAAAAGGTGGTTTACAATCCCAGTGTAGGAGCCACGTGAAGTATTCTTTTATACCGAAAGGTGGCGACATTGGGTTTCCAAACAATGCCTGTCAAAGCAGAGCCCTGCCATGCTCTGTTTCAAACCTCCTTCACTGAGCGATCCGCTTTATTGGTACTCCTTTTATTTCTGCAATTATAACAGGCATATAAACAATTTATCCTCCAATCAGGGGCGATCTTTTAAAGATATTTAGATACGTTATATTTCCATTTGTATGTTTTCACTGCGAGAGTAAAACGGTGGTGTTGTGAGAGCAGTTTAAGATTTGTAATTAAGAAGTTGAATATGAAATGAACGATACAGTCTGGTGCGTAATTCTCTATGTTCTCATATGTCTGTGTGGGATCAGGATCAGGAATCAGCAGACGGCGCTTAAACAAGAAATAATTAACATTTTATTTTATTTTAAATGATATTATAAGTGGTTATGATGGGGGGAAATATATATATAGTGTTAAAATTATAACGACCAGTTAATGTAAAAAAAGGAAGATCGTGCATTTACCATCTCATGTCTTCATCAAATCCTCGGAATCTGTTTTCTTTTGCTCGCTTGCTTTCGTTTCCACGTAAAGCGATAAAAAAGGATGAATATTAAGTCTCGTGTGTCAATCTGCTGATGGGCTTGGACAGTTGAGAAAACTTTGGTTTCTATACTATTATGCTAATTAAGTCTCCGGACTGAGCAGCTGATTGGCTGAGTCTGAGGCAATTTCATATTTCAGTCCTGACGTCAGGACGCCTATAAAACTAAGCAATGCTTTTTAACTCGTCGGCTGACTGATCCCTTAGAAAAAAAAATCTATCAATCCTTGGGTGGAGTTTTTTTTTTCCCATTCTCCACAAGGCAACTATTTGCCCGGGACACGTACGTGAACCTCCTCAAATTGGCGCACTAATCCTAAAAGGAGCCATGAAGTGTTAAACGGTAGAAACAGAGAGAGCGGCGCTCAGACACCCGCACGCTGGGAGAGAGGGAGGAAACAGCGCTGCTCCAATGCGTCTGTGCAACACAGACTGAAGAAAAAAAAACTTATCGACTCACAAAACCAAAACCTGCGCTGCGCAATTAGTGCGAGAAAATCCACTTTTTCCTCCGGTTTTGAAGAAAATAAATAAAGAAATCAAGCTGGCTCAGTGCGTGTCTCAGCAGCCCACTTTGACAGGTGCTCCTCACCCCCTTTGGAGGACTGTCAACAGCAAGAGGATGGCATCAGAGCTGGCAATGAGCAACTCCGACCTGCCCACCAGTCCCCTGGCCATGGAATATGTTAATGACTTCGATCTGATGAAGTTTGAAGTGAAAAAGGAGCCGGTGGAGCCCGATCGCAGCATCAACCAGTGCAGCCGCCTGGTCGCCGGGGGATCCCTATCTTCCACCCCGATGAGCACGCCTTGCAGCTCGGTTCCCCCCTCTCCAAGCTTCTCGGCGCCCAGTCCGGGATCAGGGAGCGAACAGAAGGCGCACTTGGAGGATTTCTACTGGATGACCGGGTACCAACAGCAGTTGAACCCCGAAGCTCTGGGCTTTAGCCCGGAGGACGCCGTAGAGGCGCTGATCAGCAGCAGTCACCAGCTCCAGACCTTCGATGGCTATGCCAGAGGGCAGCAGTTCGGCGGCGCAGCCGGCGCAGGAGGCGCCATGGCCGGGGAGGAGATGGGATCAGCGGCCGCCGTGGTGTCCGCGGTTATCGCCGCAGCCGCAGCTCAGAACGGGACACCCCACCACCACCACCACCATCACCACCACCACCACACAGGGGCACACCACCCCTCCTCCGGGTCTCAGTCCGGCGGCGGCGCGGGGGGAAACCACCAGCACATGCGCTTGGAAGAGCGGTTCTCGGACGAGCAGCTGGTGACCATGTCGGTGCGGGAATTGAACCGGCAGCTCCGGGGGGTCAGCAAGGAAGAGGTGATCCGTCTGAAACAGAAGAGGAGGACACTAAAGAACAGAGGCTATGCCCAGTCCTGTCGGTACAAGCGGGTCCAGCAGCGGCACGTCCTGGAGGGAGAGAAGACACAACTCATGCAGCAGGTGGACCACCTCAAGCAGGAGATCTCCCGGCTGGCCAGGGAGAGGGACGCCTACAAGGAGAAATACGAGAAGCTGATCAGCACCGGCTTCAGAGAAAACGGAGGATCCAGCAGCGACAACAACCCTTCATCCCCGGAGTTTTTCATGTGAGTCTCGGCGCTGAAAAGTTTTAATAAGCGAACCTCACAATGAAACAGAAAAAAAAAACACTTTCAGTTTGCGCGCAGCTAAAAATAGTGGTTTCGTGCGTAAAGCTGCGATAGTTCAGGATGAAAAACATTTTCACACTTTTCTGTAATTTCAAAAGCATTTTGTTTCAGAGTGCACATTTTGTTTGATTTATGTTTTTATCACGTTTAAAGGATACATAAATAGCTGGTTTAAAGGACTCTGAATATGAATCTAGTTCCCACAGATATTTTAAAGGATTTCTGTCCACGTCGTGATGTTTGTCTTTAGACACACTGCATAAACTTACTAAACATCCTGCTGCATTGCTCCGCTCTTGCAGCCTCTCTCTGCGCCTCATCCATCCTGTTCCTCTTTACGCAAAAATTTGTTTTGTGAAATGAACGAAAAAGTCCTGAGGCGCAGCAGCTTTATTTGATGTGAATTTGCTTTTGTTTTTTGTTGTTCAAAGTCAGTTTATTTTGCTATAAATTATCTCCTTTTCATATCATTCATCTTTTCTGTCTTATGAAAAACACCCAAACTCTGCTTCAGCACAAGTTTGGAGAATTGATGTCCAACAGACTTTATTTTGAGTTGTGTGAAGCCAAGCATGCTGGTCATGTACGGATTGTGTTTTTACTTTTTTAATTTCTTTTTCCTTTTTTTTGTGAACTTGTGTATAATGATTGTATTATCCCATGACTGCATTGTTCAGTTTCATCAGCTTTTTTTTTTTTAAGTGGATTTGTGTGCAAAACGAGTGAACAAAGTTACATCCATCCGTCACTTTGCTTTCATAAAAGTTCACCGCGACCATGAACCCTTCAGCATTTTATAGGCTTCTTTTGGAGCCATGTGGGGAAAATAACTTTGTGTAAAGCAACTTTGTATTGATTTGTACTATGAGACAACATCAGGGTGAGCATCATGGGGATATTTACTAGAAATAAGAACATTTTCCCCCCCCTGACAGATGCACAGATCTAATAGATTATCGCGATCAACAAGTGGAGCTGAAGATAAAACACTTTGAGCAGGAGCAGGTTCTGATGCATGTCCTTAAAATAAACGAGAAGGAAGCTGCTTTGTCACGCAAAAAAATGTTGCAAACAAATGATCTGTCCTCCCAGAAGTTCGTTGTTAATGTGTTTTCCTTTCATTTAAGGAACTTAATTAAGTTTACCCAGAACCCTGTGGGTCTCATTCGGTAAAATAAACTGTGAACTGTTTTGGAAATAGAAGTTTAATGTTCTCCTGGTGTTGTAGAATAATTACGCAAAAAAAAATAATCACCATGCAGCCACTCGTCTTTTTGTGATGCCCTGGATTTCTATTCAGTTAAAATGTGTTGTCTGAACTGGACAGTAAACTGGCAGACGTCCTGTTCACTCGTTTTTGTTTTTTTTTTAAATATGGAATTTAATAAACACACCATTCATCAATAAACCTCCATGAATGGAAACAAATATATTCTCCTGATAATGTTTGTTTTTGTTCTGTTCAGTTTTGCATGTTGTTTGTCACTGAGGCGACTCCACACACTCTTTTTTTTTTTTTTTTACCCCCTTCCCTCTTGATTGGAAATGAGTGTAAATAGAAGAAGAACGTGCCGATTGCAAATGTCATTGTAATAAGAAAAAAAAACATCTGTTCCCAAACGTGCAGTTTGCGTCGAAGCGCGATGCAGATGTTGGTGCACAAGGCGCGTAATTATAACATCTCCAAGATCAAGTCCAGCTTTGATATTTCATGCAATCAAGTCATTTTTTTTGCTTCATGTATTTTCATTCATATCCTTTTCTACTCATATTTTAATTCAGGTAAATACACTTCTAATCATTTAATAATCCCAATTTTCTTTTTGATGAATTTCTCCTCCCCAGAAATAAAAACGACGGCCTTCACCTGTTGCGTAATTAAAAGGAGGAAAAACTTCAATTTCGCTGAGAGATCGTACAGAAAAAATCAAACAAATCACACCACAATGTTCAGTATTTCTTCTATAATTATTCTTTTTTTGCCCCGTGGCCTGATATTTGCGCTGCAGGTCTCCTGGAAAAGGCTGAGTTAATGATTGAGTTTAGAGTAAACTTGCACTTTTTTCGCTCAGCACACGTCCACTTGTTGAATATTGTCTGTGGGAGCCTTCTTTTAAAATCGAGCTCTGAAAAAAAGCTCTAAAAACACGACTCTGTTCTCTCTGTGGCAAACGCACAAATAAACACACATCAGTTATTCTAAATAGGGGCTGGTTGCCTTTCCACAGCGACTCCGAAAGCAAAGGAAAATATATATTTTGGTGAAGTTAAACACTTGAAATAACAGTGTGACTATATGATCTACTATTGCTTCCAGTTTCACTAATTTACGCAAAATGTTTTCAGTCAAACCAAATTTTCGGTATCGTTGTTACACTCACAGAGGCGATCCGGCACTTTCGCTTTAGTGTTAAGATGCTTTATTTGACTGAAAATGCTTGAAAGACTGAATGAAAGGCACAGAACACACATAGGACCGTGCAGTAGCCTCTAACCACTGAATCCTCCTCGTGAACTCCGTGCGTCCTGAACGAGCAGTGGTGGTTGGCGTTAAAGCTGCACAGGCTCTGTGTGGTTGAGCTGCCATTGCAAGGTCACTGCCACCACAACGCATGCTGCTGGGAGTCTTTGTGGTCGCGTGTGTGCATGTAAAAGGGGGTGATATTGTCCTTTTGGCAGCACGAGTGCTTGCAAGTGCTGCACACTGAGGAAATGGAAAGTTTAAAATGCACCACAGTAATACGGAGTGTGTGCAGAGTGTCTCACCTGTGACACACACACACATATACAATACACACCTGGCTCATGTGGCTCCCCATGAAAGCCCAGAGTGAGGGACAAGATGGGAGAGCATGATCCTCTCATGCCTGAAGGAATGATTCTCTCTGTGATTTAAAGTGAGTGAGAGATGGAGCAAGAGGGAGAGAGAGAGCAATGCATGGAATAGAGGAGAGAGAGAGAGATGCTGGCTGCCTTCCTGCTCCTTTCAGATGATAAACGATCAGAGATGCATCCTAGCTGAGAGGAGAGGGCCTTTTAGTGAGCATGTGTCCACTAATTTATGGCCCTCCTATCTGATTAGGTCAATATAGTGTGCTATTTAATTACATTTGTGTTATAACCCAGAACTGGAGATACTATACTTCTTTCATGTCACCTCTTTCTTCTGTGAGGCCGATAGGATTAGTTGTGTGTGTGTGTTTTTTTTAAGGAGAGTCGTACCCGGAGCTTAATTTGCACATCAACAGTTTGGTGACAAACAGTGGGTCTGCTTAAAGGTTGGGAGGTTTTCGTGCTCTGTTATTTAATATGCAAGAAGGATACAGTGGAAAGTTGCTGATCAGCGTAGGGCTGTGGAAAAACTGTGTGGGATGCTCCTGTGTGTGTGTGTGTGTGTGTGTGTGTGTGGGGGGGTGTGTGTTTTGACTAGCAGACACACCGAGGGGCAGGAGGATTCAGTAGCACTGATTCACTTCCTGTGTTGAAGGAGGACAGAAGGCACAGGAAGCAACATTTCAGGGCTTCCTCCTCACTTCTCAGCATTCTGCCAAAGAGTCACCGCTTCTTCGTCTCCTGCCCCCTCGCTCGCTCGCTCGCAGCGTGACAGAGTGCGCACATGTAGCGCACAGACACGCCACATTATTAATCTTATCACCATATGAACTGTAATTCTATTCTCTGGCCCCGGCATATTGACTTCTGCACCGTGATCATTTGCAGTCTGTCCAATGATTAGGTTATTAAAGATAATGTAGTTGTCTGCTGTCACAATATTGGACTCTCTCTTTCGGGTCAACTATGGGAAATCACTTTGAAATTTATCAGTATTGACATTTGAATCATCATCATGTACTTTGCTTTAATGTCTTGGAATTAATAGGACAAAAAGGATGCGCGCAACTGTTCAGTGTCTTATTTGTGTGAGTGCTCAATAACCAGGCCGGCATTGTCTTCTACATGACCTTGTGGTGGAAGGGTGTGTATATGTGTGCTTTGACTGAGTGTATTAAATCTGTAGGAGTGAGTCACTTTATCGGGGCCACTGTTAAATAGAACTAATGTGATGCACAAGGAAAATTCAGGCTCTGTTTTGAGTACAGCAACTCGTTTAAGAGCAGCTAAATCAAAGTTTGGAGTGTTGCAGTAGCTCTACCACAATTTAACTTATCATAATTAAAAGTTTCATAATCAGTAAGTGAACAATTAATTCCTCAAGGCACCACCTGCATCCACCAAATAGATGTTTTATCAGCTGAGTATTGTTGGATTAAAAAAAGAAAAAAAATCCCTGAAACATTTTTCATAACAAAACGATCCACATTCCTCCCCCTTTTTTTTTTAAACACACCAGTTTTATTTATTTTTTTTGTTCATTTTCTATTTTTCCCTGCGGACGTTCCACTTCCCCAAGACGAACCGCCCCAAAGGGTTAAAAACATATTCGCATTCAAAAGAGGAAACAATTTCAATCTCTTCCACTCAACCCGCATCTGCATCACTCCACGCGATAAACATTTACATTTAAAGTGATTTAAATCAGCTGCATTTCTGTTCCTCTGTGGTCCGTCCATCATCCAGACCTGCAGTGCCAGAGCCCTCCCTACCTACCTCCCTCCCGCCCTCTCTTGCAGTGTCCTGAGTTATGTCATTTATTTGAAACCCTAATAATTTAACTTGTCCCGTCCTGTCGCGGCTGCGCATGTGGTAAGAATGCAGCAGCTGTAAGAAGGGAGGTTTTTTTAAGCTGCTGCTGCTTCTGTTTGTGTCTTATTGGCTTTTACATGGTGATTTTTTTTCCCCTCAGCAGAGTGATGAAAATGTGATTGTCTGAATCCAAATCTATAGTCTTGTGTTGAATTGCTGTAAATGCTCAGCTGTGAAAAAAAAAAAGAATGTGCACATTACACCAGATTTGCATTTGCTTGTCTGAGGAGCTGTCTTCAGAATGCATAACTAAAGGGCAATAGATGAAAGCTAATTATGATTTAATTATATGGGATCACAATATTCTGACTCACTGATAAACATAGCTGAGGCTGTGTCGATTTTTTATTTTATTTTTTTGCATTTTTTTCCAGCGGTGTTTTCAACAGTGAGTTGAGTTTCAGGGCACAGAGTCAGTGGAGTGTTTTGGACCGCAGCGAATCTGGTGGTGGTGGTGTTGGTTGGTGGGTGGTGGTGGTGGTGGTGGTGGTGGGGGGGAGGTGTTTGACAACTGAGTGCATTATGCGACTGTGGGTGTGTGCGTGTCCGCCTGTGTGTGCGTGTTAAAGTCTGACCGTGCATGAGTTTGTGTTATGCAGGGTAGAGCTGGAGCCGAGCCCGACCCCTGTGTGTTTTACCTGCATCTCAATGAAGCGAGAGGTGATTTACCCTTCTGCTGCAGTCAGCCTCTCTCTCTCTCTCTCTCTCTCTCTCTCTCTCTCTCTCTCTCTCTCTCTCTCTCCCTCCGTCTCTCAGCCAGTCAAACAGACATTGATCTCTTTGCCAGGCAAGGTGACCGACAGTGTTGTTCAGCTCTTCCAAAGTCTCTCCTCTCCCTTTCATTTGTACCTGGGAAAGGCCTTGACCCCACACACTGCTGCCGTTTAGCGGCCTTCTGCACGTGGACCTCGCTTCCCCTGTACGAAGCCCTGCATGCATGTTTGAGTTGGTGGAAGTGCACACAAAGTTAGATGTCCATATCTTAGACGGCATGCATACGTGTCTACATGTCTTGCGTCTTTATCGAGCCCTCTGTTTGCGTCCATGTGTTGGTTCCTGAGGCTGTAAATCCTCATGCGGGAGTCTCTCCGTGTTGACGTTTTCAGGTGACTGCAGCCCTCTCTGTGGCTGTAGGTCTGTGGCTGGGAGCTCCTATGTAGCTGAATGGGTCAGAGTCCATTTGGCGCCAGCGTGAATCGGATTACAGGGAAATGAATGGTTCTCATTGTTGCTTAAAGATGGATTGGGGGGCATTAATATACTTTGTCGCTCCTTTGCCTCGTTTCTCGCCCTTAAAGCCCAGCGAAAAGTTTTTTTTTAGGATGATTCATTGCTCGGCTTTTAAAGCAGGGCTTCTTTATCCGGAGTCGTCCCTGACATGTGTTCATATGATGACCATATGTGTGCATGTGTTCACACACACATGTGCAGACACCCTGCTCTCTGCAGTGGTCACAAACTGACTGACCTGATGCTGGATTTACAACTTATAATACAGAATTCTAATTAGATAATTTAAAGCAGTGCATTTAAGCTATGACAGGGTTTTTTTTTTTAAATGATAAATGGAATAATTATGAAATGATGGTTGATTAATAAACATTAAGAAAATGTATTGTAATAATATGAACATTATTTCAAATTAGTATTTGATTTGAGTAAATTGTTGTGTGTGTGTGTGTGTTTGATATGTATTATCTAAGTGTGTGTGTGTGTTCTAAATATCAGCCAAATTCAAAAAAACAAATCAAAACCTTCCATTCAAATCTATTTCCTGATATCTGAGTGATTGAAATATCTGAGCATTTGATAGATTTTTGTTTTTCTGTTTGTCTTTTTTTTAATCTGTTGCTTACTTTGTATAAAATTATTCAAAGTTGTTTGAATGGTCGAAATTGAAATAAAATTGCACCTCTAAATTACCTGATAGCATTTTATGAGTTGAACTAAGGAAACAAAATGAGCGTCACACATTTATTACTCAGTATTATTGGTTTTCTAAAAGGCTAAAAGGCCTAAAATGATCCTGAACACAAAAAAATAATCACATCTTTGTCTTTACTCTGGTGACACTTTTCTCTAAATTTCTGGCCAGTTTTAGAACCAAGTAACCATTAGTTACTGATGAAGTGTGTTCTGTTTACAGCTGGTTTTACTGCTCATGTTGTGTTTGTTAAACTTATTCTTGTTTTGTTCTTTGCAGGACGTCAAGAAAATTCCTCCATCTGTGATAGAGAGCTGTGACCTGTCGGTCCCGCCACCCTGAAGTCTGAGGTAACTTCGACACTCCTCCTACACAAATGAACTTAATGCATTTTTACTGTCATGTTATTTGAAGGTAAGATGGAATTAAAGTAAATGCAAATTCAAAAGTTTAATGTTGCAGACGTGTGACGATCTATATTTCACGTCTGCTGCTGGTTCATCAAAACACACGCAGCTGTGAATAGTGCAGAAACCATGACAGTGATGTTGTGAGAAGAAATGTAGAGCTTTATGTGATTTGTTTTTATTTGTATTTTCAATCCTGTGCATTTACACACAGAAGGACACAATCTGCTTTATTATGATTCAGGTTAATTCATTAAAAAAGATATATATTTAGAAACAAAAGCTTCTACAATATAAAACCCACAGATGACAGTAAATGCTGTGCAATTTGTTTCTGTTTAACTTCATGATTGTCAGTGAAGTAAATGTTGATAGCAGCTGTAAAATTCACATTTTTGCTGCTTGCTTTCTGTTCCTAATGCAGCTGAATATAACCGCTGTTCACTGGGTCAAACTAAAATAACAAGCATTTGTTAAATGCATCAGACGTTAACTAAGATTACTTTATCTTTCTTCGGAGACGAATCAAAATCACAAACGTCTTGTTTATATTGATTTAATGTAATGAGGAAGCACCCGTTTGGGACAGTCGACACCAGAGATTATTATCAATATTATTTTCAGTCCTGTGTTTTTTTTTTTTCTCCTCTCGCTTCACATTTAGCTCTATGACAGCCAAACTCCTTCCCCTCTCTACCTTTTAACATTTCCTGCGAGCCGTGTTTTGCATCCCTCTTGTTTTGGGGCTCTGACAGTGCTGCCTGAATGACAGGGGGGTGACATGCGCAGTGCTCATGGGATGAGACCAAAAACCTTTCACCTCTGTCCTGACCCCCCGACTTCCTCCGTCCTCTCTGCTCTCTCTACGGAGACAAACACTGCACGTTATTTTTTATTTTATTTTTATTTCTGGCTGACACGCTGCAGATGGATGGATGGTGGGGATTGATGGAGTGAGCGAGGGGAATGTGAGGACAGTAAGGAAATCAGAGGGACAAGGCGATAAAGACCAGCAAGAGGAGGGAGAACGGACGGAAGGAGTCGAGGCAAAGTTAGCGCAGGAGTCGTTGGGGGGACTGAGGAGATGAAGGCACCTGGATTTCAGTGCAGACCTGCAGGGTGAGAGGACAGGAGGAGGAGGAGGGGAGGTGAGGAGGGGAGGTGAGGATGCAGACCTGCAGGGTGAGAGGACAGAAGGAGGGGGAGGAGGTGAGGAGGCAAGGGAAGGAAGGAATGGATGGCAGGAGGGCTCCTGGCCGTGGATGCAGACAGACAGGCAGGGTAACCAGAGGCAGGCGGTGACCTTCTCTGCTGCTGGAGGATCGAAGGCTTTATTTAAAGGCCTGGTCAATGCTGGGTGCTGCTGAGGTATCAGCCTCGCAGCCAGGCGACTCATCACCACTGTAATACAACTCTCTAACGCTAACCCCCCCCCCACCTACACACACACACACACACACACACACAGAGGCAGGACAGGACACTCTCTGGACACCTCAGGTTCTACCCTGTACAGTCAAGAGGCTGGACAGAGGAAACTACAGCATCAGCATCAGCTAATTTTACTGTGCAGCAGACAGTATACTCCACTTTCCTCATGTGCTCAGCACCCGCTAAGCTTGTTTTGCTTCTGACATGCACTCCATCACCGTGCCTTGTGTTTTTTTTTTGTTTGTTTGTTTTTTTTGCCTCTTGACATAATGGTAGATAGATTATGTGAACACTTTCATATGTGACCCAGTGAGGAGGTGGTGAAGGAGTTAAAAATTGACAGAGTGCAGGCTGCGAAGGTAGGACTCCTGCATCTGTGTGTGTGTGTGTGTGTGTGTGTGTGTGTGTGTGAGTGCAGCACGTGTTTGCGTTGGCATGTGTGTGGCTGCAGCGTTAGGACACCTGCATGCTTCAGCACTTTCTGGCTGTCAGGAGCTCTGAGGTCACAGGCAGGGGGAGTGGAGAGGGCACATTAGAGGAAGCTTCAGAGCCCCCACCCACCACGCCTCCGCCGTCTCCATCCTCGTACCTCCCACCACTGCAACCTTCTTTTTCTTCTTCTTCCCCCCTCTCCCCTGTTATCCCCCCGTCATGCCTTCTCCTCTTCCTCCCCCCTCCCTCCGACTCGTCTTCCCCTCGTGGTGACGGGGTGAGTCGGCCACTCGGGGGGGAGGGGGCGCAGGGAGGCAAGGTGCCTCTGTGGCTGACAGCAGGCAGGTCAGGTTTTTGTAGACACGGCAGAGGAGGAAGGACACATACGCAAACACGTCAAGGTGTGTGTCGGCGGTGAGAGAGAGGGAGCGTGTATTTAAATGCATGCACGGACATATGGGCCGTAAACAACTAAAGAGCTTTTGCCGGTCGATGTGGATTTTAAAATATAGGTAGATAGCATATCCTGATAGCTACATACACTTTGTTTAATTAAAATCAAACTGGAATATCTTCACATTGTGGTTGGTAATCTGTAATCGGTGATATCGCCCACACTCAATCCAAACATGGGATTGTCATTTTTTAGAAAACACTGAACTTGCGTCGGGGCCTTTTGTATTCGGCAGCGAGCAGGATTTGCTCCATCCACAGTTTGACACACTTCACTATCCTTCACTGCCTGGGATATATATAACTACTGGCTGCCCATTGTGAGACTCATTACACTGCTACAGTTTCGGTAGTGACACAGACGTCATCCCTCCATCCAGAAAATCCAAATGACAGGCAGGATATGAACAGGATGTATGCTCCTTATTAGGGGCCTGGTTGGGAAAAGAGGGGAAGCAAGAATTGGGTGTTAAGAAATAACAAAAAGGGGGAAGAAAGATTTTCCTCTGCCGGTTGTAAAGATACACAATCTGAACACAGAGCAACTAGATTGTTTTTTTAAAATGTGTTTTCACTTCTAAGCCACAAAGTAGATGACGCTCGAGGAGGAAGCTTCGCCCTCGAGCCGAACCTCCAAACATCAGCCCGCTTTTCTTTTCAACTTATGTTAATATAAAAATCTTCTCCCCGTTGTTTCGGCTGTTTAAGCCCGAATTGTGTTGTTTTATTCCAACATAATTAGTTGTAAAGCTGTTATGTGTGTGTTTGTGCGAGCCTCAGAGCCACTGCTGTCCTCAGGTTGCGACTGTGTGTTCACAGCGTGATTGAGGGAGGAACTTGTGTTGAGCCGGAGGTTAGTGTGATATAATGTATTCCCCTGAATCACGGCAGCCAGCAGCCCAGGGCCTTCCTCTCGCCCGCAGCCTCCTTCTCCTCACTCCCCTCGCCTCACCATCCTCTTCTCCTCCTCCCCGCGGTGACTGCCCAGCGCTAGCTGCTTAGCATTGCACCCAGTGTCTAATTGAATTCCAACACTGAGGCGTTAGCTCCTGATGCTATAGAGATGTTAACACGGCACAATACCAACAGTCCTCGGGACGCGCTTCAACACCCGTCTCCTAAAGAGAAAATTAGCGCTAAGCTCACTCTGGCAACACATGATTTATTCAAAGCTCCAAACTATGTCTTCTGTATCCCCTAAAGGATCGTCTTTTATAGCCATCAGCGAATCAGCACTTCATATACACACATGGAGCCCTGGCAGGATATGTATTGTGGCTGCGCTGAGTGTGTGTGTGTGTGTGTGTGTGTGCTTCTTCTTGCTTCTCATGCTTCTACCTGAGTCTATCTATTGTCCTTTATATAAATGTGTCTGCTGGTCTCTCTGCATCCATATTGCTGGCGATGCCGTCCATCCCCTCTCCCTGACACCCTCACTTTTATTCCCTGGCTCTCAAACACTAGCTCTGGGCTTTAATGGCACATATTTCCTGGTCCCGGCTGAAACGGGATGCATCTTCTCCTTGTTAGCTTGATAAATAACCGGGCTGCTGGGAAAGTGCTGAATTTTAGCTTTCAGCCTCTATTTTCTGCTGGATGACATTAATTTTAAGTGCTGAGAAGGAGCTAACTAATACAGACAAATAAATAAGGAGGAGGGAGGGAAGGTGCAGAGGTGCTGGAGTCACTGCTGTCCCTCCCTCCCTCCCCCCCGTTACCTGTTTATACACAGGCATTCATAGATATGCAAAGCTGCAAAAAATAGACAGCACGCACAATCTGCACAAAGTCGAGCAGCGCGGTTCGTTTCTCAATAGATGCTTCTGTTGTTGTCCAAACTGGGACGTCATCTTGTCCCACTACAAGTAGAACTCCTGCAAGGTCAAATGTTGGCCATGTTGCAAGCAGACAGACAGTCAGTCAGTAAGATTGGCTCCATGCTTCTCTATCTACTGTCTGCCTCTGTACCTCCACTCTGTCTGCCTCCCTTATCCTCTCTCTCAGTCTTCTTGAATTTTGTGTTTCATCAAAAAGCAGAAATTAGAGTGGCAGTAATGCGGTAACGGCGGTGCGACGCTCAGGACAAACTGTGTTTATATGAGCAGAGACAACAAAACAGAGATTAGATCTGAGGAGCTCATTAGCTGCAATTTAAATATTGAGAGTAAAAGTTAATTATTGTTGCGTACAAAACAAGGAGGAAAATGTTTTCCAGCTGCAACACTGACAAAGTGTGTTTAAACTGTATGAAAACGGTTTATTTGTGTTATTTTGACGTTGCTGTTTGTGTGCTAAATGTGTGCATTGGTGCCATAATCGCTGTGCAGCAACAGCAAAATATTCTCTTTTCACCACATCAGCTGCACTGGAGGATAATTTCCTTTTTCTAAATAAACAGACTACTGCAGAGTAAAATAGAATATGATGGTCTAGAATACAAGTTTAAAGTCGAATCTCCCAGCTTCAGCCATATTTTGCTTTTTTATTTTCTTCCTGATGCCTGTACATTTTTTATTGCCGTCCTTTATTCTTTTTTAATTGGTTTTATTCAGTTTTACTTTTCGTGCTTTACAATTTTTGAAGC